ATAAAAAGAGATGCATCGAAAAGAAAAATAACAATTCGGAGGAATCAACAACGGAAAATGCCAATATGGACACAAAAGAAATAATGTAACGGTACAGGGTTGGTTAGGCCATGAGGCTTGTGCGTGAAACTGGGGATGCAAATAGAATGCACTGCTAACAAAAAGGTAAGCTGAGAACGTAAATAACAATAACGAGCGAAAAAAAAAAAGATAAAAAAGTATGGTATCATCAAAAACGAAAATTTGCGATCGTGTGTCCTCTCGAATGATCTCGAATACAAAGTGTCCTCTGTACGATTAAAAAGTATCTACGACGAAGATAAAAGTACACAACTAAACAATTGAAAAAAAAAAGAAGAAGAAAAAAGAAAAAAAAAAAGGAAAAAATCAGCAATCGTTAAATAGATAAATCGGTATGAAAGATGCGTAGACGAGATCACGCAGCTCCGAGACGACATCGACCAACGAAAAGTGTGTTACAGCGTTTTCGTTCGCTGTTCAAAACTTAAGTATCATTACTCGTCACTCGTTCACCATGATCGTGTTCGTTCTCGCTCTGATTGCAGGCGCACCGATCCACCCCACAATACGACTAGAACCCCATGGCCTACACTTTGTAATCCCTCATCAAATTGTTCACCAAGCCTCCTAACGAAATCTTCTAACGAACGGGCACGAGTTTGACTCGCGCGGTTCCAATCTACTTTACTCTCCGAGCAAAGTGAAGGGTACGGCATTTTCCCCTCGAATTCCCGAATTCCATGGCCTTCCACAGGGCTCGTGACATTCTACCGGCCGATACGATCCTCGTCAATTCGATCGGGTAATTAACAACTTACCGGTGATGTTGTCGCAAAGTATCCGCGACGTGATGATTCTGCCATATGGGCTGAACAAATTTTCCAGGTCTTGTTGCGTCATGTTCTTCGGCAAACCGCTCACGTACAGATTTGCGCCTTTGATCGCCTCGCTGCTCGGTCTCGCGTACGATACCTGCCAAGATGTACGCTCGTTAATTGCATTTGGATTTATACCGATCGATAAAACAGTAAGATAAGCTGAAAATTAGCAGTGGCTGAGCATTCTAACTGGCTCACCAAAGGCGACACGATTTGATTTCCTTTCTTTCGAGTGGTTTAACATTATCTACGTGGCATGCGAACGGCTACAATTTTGACTGTTTTCGTAGAGTTAATAAATAGCAGATGCGATAATGTCTTTGAATTCACGCCAGCCTATTTCCATCTCAATACTGTCTAATATCATGTATAATCTAACTCGTGTAATATCAATAGTATCGAGACTTAGGTTTGACGGAAACGATTCCAAATCGCAACTTCACACGAGGAGACACAGCAGCAAAACGCTTGTTACAGATTAGCCACGGCGGACACGTTTTTCCTGAGCTGTGGCTAATATATTTACGGCGAAACTATGCGTAAATACGTTAATAAAAGACTCGGACTAGGGAAGTACATATCGCGTGTTTTGTATATAAATAGCTAGTCGAAATTGTTGAGGACTTTCGACTGGAATTTGTCGGGTGGGCGCTAAAGGAATAAATGCCAATCCGAAAGAATCCTAACAAATTGGCAAACTCGGTACGTCCAGCAATATTTAGAAACCAACGAACCTTGATCGTTTTGTTTTGCAGACGAAGACCATTGAGCGTGTTTATCGCCTTCTCAGCATCCTCAGGCCGGTGATAGTTAACAAAACCGTAACCTAAACTCTGACCTGTAACATGGGAAAAGTACCAACACGTTAAACTTAAAAAAAAAAAAAAAAAAAAAAAA